TAGTGGACACACTTAATAGTCCTTCTAAAATTAGTGTTAAACGTAGCGCCTGCAGCTTTAAACTGAATAAATTAATAGTGGTGTTTGCTTAAAATAAAAGCTTGTTTTCCTTTGCTTGTTTCCACCCTGTAGACATCCAAACGGCCATAGTGGTGGGTGGCATGGCACAGCAGAAACAACGACGGATGTTGAAGCGCAGACCAGAGATCATCATCGCCACTCCGGGACGTTTGTGGGACTTAATCAATGAGGGGCATCCTCATCTGCTCAACCTCAGACAGCTGAAGTGAGTCAAGGTTCAGATTCCTTAACTAGTAAAGATCACAGAGAGTTGTAGACTAAGCATACTACTCAGTCTAAATACACCTAGGCAAAAAGAAAATGATACAATTTACACAGAAACCTGCTTGTAAAACCTGCATATGTAGCGCGAATGGCTGCAACTAACGATTATTGGAGTAATCGATTGTTCTGACAGTTAATCTGATAATCAAAATCTACAGATTTTTATTTAACCCTTGTTGCAGCTGCAGCTTGAACTAAGTTGCTCTGAAGTATAGCATAGCATATACTATGCTAGAAATACACATAAATAAGCAAACCCGTTTCTTTTATGAGAAAATAGTTAGCCTATGAGTAGTGGTCTTCAGGAGCTCTGCCAGATCCTCATTCTGCCTATGAAGCCTGTTTACAGCAGGTGATAACAACCAAAAGCTGCTCTACTAAGTATTAAAGATGCTATTAAAGATGGATTTAATAGTAATGATGTTGTTGTAACTATTAAAATTGACATTATGCGTCTAATTCAGAAAGAAATACTTGTTTTGTTTTTTACAGTTGCTGTTTAGTATATATATTTTTTTAAAATCAATTGTTATGGATATTGATTGATATGAGAAGCTCTTATCTTGATAAATTTTTCAGCTGTATTATCCATCGCTAATAAAACAAAGAGATAATTCAGTGATGCCGTGTTGCAGGTGTTTGGTTATTGACGAAGCCGACCGCATGGTAGAGAGAGGTCACTTCGCAGAGCTGGAGAACCTCCTGGAGATGCTCAACACCACACACTTCAACCCCACCAGACAGACATTCGTGTTCTCCGCCACTCTGATGATGGTCCACGGCTTGCCCAGCCGTGTCCTGCAGAAGAAGAAGAGGCAGCTGGACAGCCGGAGCAAACTGGAAATCCTGATGGAGAAGGTGGGGATTAAGTCCAAACCGAAAGTCCTTGACCTCACCAGGAAGGAGGCGACCGTGGAGACCCTGACTGAAACGCAAATCCATTGTCAGAAGGATGAGAAGGACTTCTACCTGTACTACTTCCTGCTTCAGTATCCCGGTCGCACCATGGTGTTCGCCAACAGCATCGACTGCATCAAGAGGCTCAGTGCTCTTCTGGTCATCTTGGACTGCAACCCTCTCCCTCTGCATGCCAACATGCACCAGAAACATCGCCTCAAAAACTTGGAGCGCTTTGCAGAAAAACAGAAGTAAGTCCCGCAGCCATCAGGTGTCACTTCAGGAAAGAGTTCAGTAATTATTTGTTTCTCTAACGCTGGACGTCCTAACTTGTCCCCACAGTTGTGTCCTCCTTACGACCGACGTGGCGGCGCGAGGCCTCGACATCCCCAACGTTCAGCATGTTATTCACTACCAGGTGAGGCCATGGCGTCCTCTCACCTTCAGCCTCAATAACTTCTCTAAGGCTGCAACTGACGATTCTTTAAGTTATCAATTAACCTATTCCAACGATTTTTTTTTTCTTAATGGCACCTTCTGCAGACTTTTCATTCAAGCCTTTTTTATACAATATTATATAATAAAGTTCCCTATAAACAATTTAATAAAATTTTTAAAGAAAATAAACATTTTTATTGCCTAAAATGCAGCATAGCATTCCTTAGTTTAGTGCACCTGCAGCTTAAAATGGGTTCCAACATGTGAAAAGCTCAGCTCTGTCTGCTTGACTTATCAATACAGTGTAGAACTGATCCGGTGATTTTTTGGATTACTTGATTAATAATTGGATAGCAAAAGTCACCTAATAAGGATTTTTTTTAAAGAATTTGAACAAAATGAAGAAAAATGCCACTTGAGGAGTTATGGGCAGAACATATTTACAGAGATGTTTTTATTTTAGATGTTCATTCTTTGTACAGTTTTGTCTTAACTGCTCTAAGTGTGTTCTTTCAGTAAATCGCCTTTTTTGAGTCTGCATTAATTGACTATTAAAATAGTTGACATCTATTTCAATAAGAACCCTGCACTGATTTGGCTGAATTACCTTCACAGTGCACAAACAGATGTAAAAATATGAATATCCTCTTTATTATGTACATTGCATGACAATTTATGTATTTTTATTTTTTAAAACAAAAAACGATTACATCGTTTCCCATCCAAGCTGGTGGATTTACAATACATGAAAAAAATATTTCCACCCAGTGGAAAACAATAAAACGTGAAATTGTAGAGATTCCTGCACCAGCAAATGAAAACAAAATTAGCAGCAATATTAGATTTAAAAAACTGCATTTTGAATTGGAATGTTAAGAAATCATTAAAAAAAAAAAAAACACACACACACACACTTTAGTGTCTCCTAATAGACAGCAAAAAAAAAGGTTAAATGTGACCTTTTATGCTACCTTGAACAGGTTAGGAAGGTTTATGGGGTTTACAAAACTATCGATTAAATTTTTTGTACAAATTATCTTAGTGAGATTTTAGTCTGGTCAGTTCTCCTTTTAGGGCCTCCTGTCACTTTAAATCCAAATAAGCTACTGCTGGCCACACACCCCTCAACTCAATGTTTACACCCTACTGTGAAAATGGCTGTAAACAGATGTGCAACTTTGCAACTGTACATCTTCGAAAAGCATTAGTCAAGCCTCCTACACAACCAACAAGAATGCAGCAAGTGTTTATGGATGATACGTCAACAACAAAACACTTGTCTTTTCCAGCAGCCATTGTACCGTGCATACAGTGGTAAAATCAGCAGAACAAACGTGATGGAGCTCAGCTTTAGTTGCTAGGTGACAGTGAAGTGCCTGTCGATTGTGCACGTTTTTAAGAGAAGCTGAGACCCAAATGGAAGCATAAAATCATGAGAAAGTGAATTGTGCGTACAAGGTGCCCCTTAAGATATTCAAGTGGCTCAATTAAAGTATTAATTATAAAAATACTGTATGTGTTCAAGAGCAAACAGCAGCAATCTCAAACAAAATGTGTTGGCGTTAGTGGGCGGGATTGCTCCTGCATGTCTTTAGTGTAGTTTGCTTTGTGAATCCAGTGCAGAAATAAAGCAAAGTGGATGTAAAAACAAACAAAAAAAAATCGATAATTTATCATGCAGGTTCCTCGAACATCAGAGACGTATGTCCATCGGAGCGGCCGCACAGCAAGAGCCACCAAGGAGGGGCTCAGCTTGCTGCTCATCGGCCCAGACGATGTGATAAACTTCAAAAAGATTTCCAAAACTCTGGGAAAGGATGAGGAGCTCCCCACCTTCCCCGTGGAAAACAAATGCATGAAGGCCATCAAGGTATAACCCATCAGCATCATGTGACAGAGCTCTGTGATTTTATGTCTCCATTAACAAAACGTCTGGCATGTTACAGGAGCGCGTGAACCTCGCCAGGAAGATAGAAAAGATTGAATACTACAACAACAGGGAGAAGCAGCATGACTCGTGGTTCAAGCAGGCAGCAGAGGCCCTGGAGGTCGACCTCGACGATGACCTCCTGATCGGTAAAATTAAGTTAAACGCACTCAATTTACAGCTTTTCCCGGTCACTTTGGTGCATTTCTCAAAACAATTCATGCAAAAAACAAGTTTCTTAAAGTCCTTAGCTCATCAATCAAAAGTAAAATCTCTGATTCAGTATGACCAGTTATTTTATTGAGACACTCAAACTGCCGTCATGTTAATATAACGGTGTACTCAGGATTATCTGTTTTGATGACAAGTATTGTAATTATGGGAGATCAAAGAATTTAAATTCTGTACTGAGAAATGCACCAAAGTACTACAGAGTATTAGAGCCATACTAATAAAAAATAAAAATTGAGAATAAAGTCATGAGACAAAACTCGCATGAGAATAAAGTCATTACAATAATGTATGAAAATAAGTCAAAATAATATAAGGTCATAAGTCATATTTTGAGAATAGTTGTAAAATTATGACTTTATTCTCGTAATGCTATTTTAGCGTGGTCCTAATATGCTATCATATGATGGACTATTAGGGCCATTGTAGCTAAAAAAAAAGTAACTTTTTGCCAAAAAATCTCAGTTTTCTGGAGAAAAACCAAATTTGAGTTTGAAAAGTCAAAAAATGTGCAAAAAGAATTACATTTTGAGTGTAATCTCAGGAATATTCTAGAGAAATTGTGGACATTTCTGGATTCGAAGTTGCAAATTTGCTAGAAAAACTCAAATCTTTGAAAAAACTTGGAGATCTTTCAATTTTTGATACACTTAAGTTTCTAAAATGTCAATTCCTTTACGTCTAGCAAACATGTGACTTTTCAAACTTAGAAATGTCCTTATTTTTTCTAGAAAATTTGTTTCCCCTCTTTTTCCATCTGCAATGGGTGTACTAAAGCAGCTGAGAAAAACCCAAGTTAAAAAAATACTCAAATCACTAAAAAAAAATAATACTGAAAACCATCTGTGTCCACAGGCAGCGCTAAAGACCAGGAAACAGACATGGAGCAGAAGAAGATGGTAAAGCAGATGAAGAAGAATTTAAAACATCTGATCTCTCAACCAATTTTTAAGAACTTGGTAAAAACAAAGTACCCGACTAAAATGGGAAAACTGGCCCTGGCGAACATGCCTGTTGCAGGGATGGAAAGCGCCCTGACCAGGATTTCTGGACAGAAGCAGCTGAAAAGATATTTCCCACAACAGCAGAAACAACAAAAACAAAGGACAAGGATCAAGAAGCAGGAATAATGTGGTTAAAGAAAAAGTTTCTGCACTAAAAAGAGCTTAATTCTACCTTTAATAATTCTTATATTTGTGTAGCTTTGAGGATGGGCTGCTATATTTTATAAAGTTCTGTTTTCATAATGATCTGAAAGCCTGTGTGTGTTTTTATTATCGTCATTTGGCCGCTTCCTGAGCTAGTCACAGGCAAGTCCGTTGGTATAGAATGTTGTAATGTGAAGCCTGGTAGAGGAGATGCACGGATGGATCCACTCCCTCGGGAATGACGTGGTGCACCAGCTGCTGCTCGTTACCCTCCATGGACACAATGTGGATCCCAACGTCCAGAGCCTGCGACAGGGCCAAGATATCGACGTGGTCGCACTCCATGGCCATCACCTCCACTTCCTGAACGAGGCCAAACAAGACTCCATCAGCACCACGAGTGCAAACAAATAATTCATTACATCTTAGATTAAAATAAGTTCCGATCTACGGAATAATGTAGATCGGAACTACAACACCAACTACAACTTAGTGTTGTAGTTTGGCCGCCATCCATCAGAGGGCGCCGCAGGTCATCTTTAAATGGAGCAATTGACACAGAAATAAACAAAGATGGCGGCCATATCAGAACGGCGAAGAGTAACGGTCGCAAAATGCACTTTATGCAGTTCTGTTTTGAAATAAACACCCGAAAAATCCTTAAGACGTTTCGAAACATAAATGCTTGACAAACTCCTTAAGTTTCACCTTGATCGCGCTCATTCAGCCGAGCTGCGTCAGCTTCTCATTCAAAAAGTACCGATATGCTACACAGGCTAAGATGTTATGACAAAAAGGCGCAAAGGATAAAAAATTTAACGGGAAAAAGAACATGCCAATAAGCAAGGTTGATTTGAGGGCTTTAATGTACTTTATGGAAAGAAGTTTAAACATTTCGTCAAGAGCAAACAATGCTTCCTTATGAGCATCTCCGTTTCCTGGTTCACATATTAATTCAGCAACCTAAGAGATTCCGGTTTTGTTATATTTTATTTAATGTGTTCAGTTTTAATACAACTGAAAATGAGACATTTTCAAAATGTAGTTCTTTGTTACTGCAAGACAGTAAGAAAATTCAGGTTTTTTAAAAATGGCCGCTTATTAATCTAAAGTTGGTCCATAAAAATCAATTAGCTCATTAATTAACACCTTCTTATATCCATTTTAAACTCCCAATAATAAATTTTCTCAGCAGGCGTTAGGTTTGTTCCCTACCTGACGACAGTACACCTTCAGATCTGGAGCCTCAACAAAGTTGCAGAAGAAGTCTTCATGGATTTGGAGGTGTGCAGACGTGAGCAACCTGAGGAACTGCACAACGCTGTCTGAGATGATCTGTTCGTTGAAGAGCCTGAGGAGAACGTCTTCATGCTGCGCAGCAATGCACTGATCCACCACATGTAGGACCTGCAGGGCGAGACAAACGGTAAACAGATAGAGCTGCAGAGGCGGAAAACATTTCTGTCATTTTTCTTTCCTGCAGCCAGAGCAAGAAATATTTTTAAAGCTGTTTGGATGATTGTTGGTTCTGATGCCAAAATGTTCACATTAAGTCCAAACCAGTTGGTTGGGCTCAACTGGTTTGATTAAATGGAAGTGAAACAAAGGTTGCCGTTTGAAAATCCCCGTCTATATTTCTAGAAAGTGTTGGCTCCACAATGGGGCAATGTTAATTATTTCAAGTATTTCAATAAGAATCAAGAAGCTGACTAAGACTTAAGGCAGTCGTGTCCAAACTTTTAGCCATAAAAGCCAAAATTGTAAAGTCAAAAGCATTTTATACCACAATCAAGTAATTATATGACCTCGAGTGTTAAAAATGCTCCATGTAGCAAATATGACTAAAAAGACATTTGTAATTCAACGCCTTGAAATTGGGACCATCTCTTTAAGAAACTCCTGCTCTGAATCTCCACCACAATATAAACTCACTGTGCTCTGGAGGTGGTCGAATGAAGCCTCTTCAAATCCTGCAGAAATCAGAACTTTTCCACTTTGTATTACCCGGTCCTTAAATCTGAAATAAAGAAAGACAAGACATAAAAAACATTTTTCTATGTGTGATACTGACCTCAGCTTGGCTCTGGGTCTCTGCAGAGTAAAGATACTGATGCTGGGATTGTGCAGAGTTCAGTTTATTTCTGAAGTGCTTTGAGCTGGAGTGGCCAAATGTTTCATCATATGGCCCAAAACTGTCAAGTCTAAATGACTCAATGACTCAGACCAAAAACAGAAAAAAAAGCAAGATACAGGAGTTTGTTTTAAGTCAATAATTCCTTAATATTGACAAAAACATTCCACTGCTAGATTATTTCACTTATAAGAAGGATGTTGTTATAAGTGAAATAATCTGCCAGTGGATCTAATACTTTTTCATCAACATCAGGGAATTATTTACTTCAAACAAGCTGCTATATCTTTCTGAAAAGTTACTTGCTCCTCAAAGAAATCCATTTAGCAGATTAGCTTAATGCCGCCAGAAGGAATATGGAGCACCGTAATTTGACGACAGCTAATAAATAGATTCATAAAGATGAAAGCGAAGGATATGTCCGTAATTTCAGTGTGCTTTAGTTAGTTTCATAGATGTATAGTATAATTCCAATTATTGCTTTTATTTATTTCAATTAGCAAAAATTTTTTTCTCAGTTTCAGTTTTTATTTTGCTAGTTTTAGTAAAACGGCATTATTGTGCAAGAACAACTTTTTTGAGCTTTACGTCATGTTATATTGTCATTTCCTAGTCAAAAATACACCTGGAGTGTTGCTTTGATTCTTTCATGTATGTTTGATAAATCTTTTAATCTCCATGGCAACCATTCAGCTGTGTGAAACAGCTGGATGGACCTAGCCTTGCCTTCAAGCCACAGCTCCTCCTCAGAGCTGCAGGTTCTGAGGAGGAGTGTTGGAGTGCAGCCCTCCAACACCCAGCTCCTTCAGACTAGCCAGCAGCAATTAGCAAACACCTGGTGGAACTGCTGAGCTCATTTTAAGAGCTACTTGTTAATAAAACACTGGTAAAAAAAACTTTGTTTTTACCAGTGCAATCTGAAACTGATGGAGTTTCAGAAAGCGCAAGAGTTTTTAAAGAGCCCAAATTCAAGGCCTTAAATTACAAAGTAAAGTCATATTTGATATATTTAGCATTCTTATAACAACTGAAGTTAACAGAGTTGCTTTATTGTGCTATAAAATGTCTCCATATGCCTGGAAAACACACTATACTGCCCCTTTAACTATAATAACCTTGTCATGGACCCCACACAATAAGTCAAAGGGCCTCAAATGGCCTGCGGGCCGCACTCTGCACACCCTTGGTTTGGGTGTCTGTGTGTCTGCATTGCACAGGTCAATACTGCCCTCTGCAGGGCTCTGGGGTTGTGCAGAATCAACTCCAGGTGTGCGAAGCAGATCGCTCTGTAGAAGCAGTTTCCATCGCCGTAGACTTTCCTCACTGCCGAAAACTGGCGGCCCAAATCCTAAAAGAGGAGGAGTTGTGTTTGTTTACGACACAGCGGACCGAGTAAACCAGAAGAAGCTGCTTTCTTTTGGACATGAAGCCTCATACTTGGTACTTGGGACTCAGTGTTCCCTCCGGCAGCAGCGATGAAATGTCCTCTATGCATGAAACCAGGCTGCAGTCCTCCATCTGCCGACAGCGGAGCAGCTTTGGGACCAAAGCGCAGCTTCACACGGGCACACGCAACACCACGCACGTCAAAAGAAGCGTTGAAACGTTTTGTAAAAAAAAAAAAATTTACTTCCACTTTCCCGAAAACCGGATGTTTGCGGAAGAGCATGTCCGTAGTCCATTTAAAGGGCCAGTCCACGTTTAGCAATGCTGACGT